ATTAAGAAAGCAGTTGGCCTTTCAAATCATACGGACGCAGATAAGAGGAACCCGCTCCCACCAGATCTCAAACCACTTTCAAAACTGCTTACTCTTTATCTTGGCTCCCTAATTAGGGCATTTTCTCTTTGTGAGCATATACCATCACTGCATCATGATAACTCTTGGCTAGTATTCTGTGAAGAAATAATTAATAATAATCCACACAAGCCGAAGGTAGATAGCAAAGAACTAGGTTGGTGTGAAGTGGCTCAATGGCCACTTGGGAAAAACCAGTAAGAGGGTTTTTACTGACCAAAGTGGTTTAACAAATGACACTTAAGTGATCTACTGGCATTTTAGAATAGAGGCAAGACAGCTCACGTATTAAGTCATTTTTAAAATAGTCATGAGAGCTTTTGCCATAAATCGAGAACAAAAGATTCCAGGAAACAACTTTTTATGAATAATTTATAAACACATAGTAATGTTAAAAGAAGGACTCTAGAGCAGAATAGGGTTATCAATTATATTTTCCAGTTGTCTTTCCCAGAGACAACTTTCTTTCCATGAGTTCAAATCTTAAAAATCAAGATGAGGTACTATGAGTAAACTTGAGGATTGACAGACTTCGGCAGCTCCATGAGATCAAGGGCCACATCTGTTTTATTTAGCAAGAAGCAGCATCAGGCCGTGTGTGACAGTGGGTGTTACTCAGCAGGTGCTCAGTAAATAATGAATGGATGAAAGATACTGTATAGTAGTGTCTGATTTTGCAAACAGAAAAAATCACAGACTTTCTGAATGTAAATTTACACAGTAAACCCAATACCATATAGACTTTTAGTAATATTTTGGTATTTAGTAAAAAGACTAAGATTTCCCAGTAGAAAGATATTTCGTCAAGTATTTGCTGTGTGTGACTTGTTCCGGCCTGCAACGTAAATGATCCTGAGAGATATCTAGGTTCTACTGGGTTCCATGGCAATCCGTTAGCTAGTGGGGTCTGATATTCAACTTTTATTTATCACATCCTTCTAATTTCACTTGTCTCACCCTGACTCTTACTGTAATCCCAAGCAGATAGATACATTAGTTCCCCAGTCTTAAGTCTCATCCTATTCACTGCTATCACATTATTCTCTAGGAAGTATCTTTCTTTTCATCTCAGTCCATTCCTCATTCCTTCCATTGGTCCTGAATGCTTTCTGAGTCAAATTCTGACAGCAGACCCTGGGTCCTGAGTCGTTTTATGCTCAGACCCTGAACCTGCTCATTAGGTGCTTGTCTCGCTGATCCTCTTCACGTAGCCATATGTCAGCCAATATACTCAACTCACTACTGCCACCTTTATTGCTAGGCTCATGCTAGTCCCTTTGCACAGAAAAAGAAACAGAGGGAAAGAGAAACACAGAGTTTTGAGTCTCTGGATCAAGCCATACCTGAAGTCAGAAACTTCCCTTGAACGCTTTAGTTATATGACTCAATAAATCATCCATTTACTGTATCCAGCTTGGGTTTTCTGACACTTGCAACTAAAAGAGTCTTAACGTATGCAGGGAAGAGGAGATGAGGGAGAGAGGAACAGAAAAATGAAGTAAAAAGGAACAGAGGAAGAAAACAATGAAAGATTTGTCCGGGGCTGTAGAACTAAACAGCATAGGATAAGAATACCAAGCGTAAAGCTCAGGGTCCAAGACTCTTTTCCATACTACTTTCCTTCAGAGATTAGTACTATTACTGATTGCCACACATTGTTACTTTAAATTTAACCAAATGCGATGTGACCTGTCATCAAGCCCCTGTAGGTTTAAGACATATATTCTCCCTGAGTAACTTACATTGTTTTCCTGGGGTGGTACACTTAAGAATTACTTTCACGATTAAGGTTCCCAAGGGGTCTATAGATGCCAGTTTTAATTTAAATAAATACTAATGCTAAAATCAATTTGTAGAATATTTCAATTGGATCAATAGGTACAGTCCTCACTAAATCCAAGGTATTTCCCTATTAGTGCTTCTTTAGAAGTGCATATCAACACCACATCAGGATTTTCAGAAAACTGCTACAAAGCCATTATTCTCAGAGACTGGATAAAACAGATGATGATCAAAACATAAGGCAAAACACAGTATTTCATCTTTGAATTCAGAGAACCTGATTCCTACTAAACACTGATAAGAGTCTTTCCCACAGGAGATCCCACTTGTGCCTCCCTAATTTTTTTGGTTTCATGGTGCTTTGTGCTGAGAACAGCAGAAGTAAGGCAGAGGATACAGCTGTCATCTGTGCCACAGAAACTGACACGCAGCTTAGTCACAGAACAGAGAGAACATGTGAAATTCACCATCACACCTTCGCAACAGTGTCAGCGTAAAGACTCAGGTCCTAGATATGATGACAGGACTGAAAATGCTTCCGGCTACAATGAAATGGATCTATCACACACTTGCCGACTTTATTCAAACTGATGATATTTTTCTTTAAACACTGGATTTAATTATTCTACCCATAAGAAATCCAGGTTGTTAATGAACTGATACATTTCTATAAATTAAAAACAAACATATCTCATACTACTAGTGGTTCCTGCCTCGCTAATGTTTCACTCAGGCCATCTCCCTCTTCTCTTCTTGTAGAACAACTTCAATAGGTAAGAAAGTTTTCTTATATCCAGGAAATTTCTTTAACCAGCAAAATCCATGGTGTTTGCTTTATATCTTCAACTCACTCCTTGCTTGTTAGGACATGCTGCCTCCTATTTCTGGTTATCCATGTAAGTTTCTTGTTCTTCCTACATAATTGCAACCCCCTGAAAGACAGGTACTGACTCTAACACGGCTTCTTCACCTGGAGCTTGTAACAACCTCCTACAAAGTAGGTAATCCATACGTGTTTTTAAAGAGAAAACTGGTTAGCCCTGGATATATTAAAACAGGGGTGTGGATATTCTAAAATAACACCAATATGACTGTGGAATGGGTTTGTCATTTAAGAGAGGTGTTCACTCAGCCTGAGAATGGGAGAAGGTGAAGACATTGTGAAGTGTGTGTGAGAAGTCAGAAGGTGTCTTCTCTCAAATGAAGACTTCCCGATCCTGTTCTCCACAGACAATTTAGTGTGGTTTAAAAGCTGCTGCTGGGAGCCGAGCTTATTAGCCACATTCTGATGAGGCCAATGCTACCAAAACCAGCCATGGGAGCTAATTCTCTGGGACTCCACAAACACTTTCTTGATACTGGAGATATCCTGGGATCTCAGTTCCTGTTCACCTCTGCCTCTGACTGGATTCTAGGTCTTGAGTAGGTCACTGCTTCCCTCTGGGCCTCAGTTTCCTTATCTTTAACATGAGGATAAAATTCCTGGCAGCGTAGCTAACTCACTCAATGCCAGGGAAAAAATTAACAATATTGATGGTGGTAATAATTAAATAGTAGCTAACATGCACTGAGTTATGCCACATTCTAGGCACTCTGATAAGTCCCATACCTACCTTAACTCTTACGATTCTCATAACAACTCCAGGACAGCAAGCACCATCACTATGTCTCTTTTACGGATGAGGAAAGTGAAGCTCAGAGATGTTAAATAACTTGACCAGGATCACAGAAGTAGGAAGAAGCAGAGCAGTATTTGAACCCTGGCATTCTGTTTGCAAAGCATCACCCTCTGTACCATTCTGCCTTACACAAATAAAATAAGCCCTGTGACACAAAAACCTTTATAAACTGCAAAAGATTAAACCACTGTAAAGTATTGTTATCATCAATGCAAACAGATGCTCATTACATTTATTGTAAAAAATAGGTAACCACCTGTCAGGTCTCCATATGCAAGCCTGGAGCCTGAAAGTCTGAAGTCCTGCTTGCCTCAGCTGATCATCTCCACCCACTGCCTGCATTTGCCATTGTCCCTAATCACCCAGCAGAGCTTCCCTGGACAAGCCCCTCACCCCACCCTGCCATCTTAACTATTATGATAATGTGAATACTCCTCACCCCACCCTACCGTCTTAACTACTCTTATCCCACCCACCATTGTAACTAAACTTATGGTACTGTATATTCTGGTGCCCCTGCCCCACCACTGTAACTGATCTTACTCTGTAACTCTATAATCCAACTCCTATCCCACTGCCCTTTGCTAATGACCTTTTTGGTCTTAGCCCACCTGCACCCAGGTGAATACAAAGCCATGTTGCTCACACAAAGCCTGTTTGGGGGGGGTCTCTTCATTCAAAGCACGCGTTTTTCAATACCACCAACCCATTTAGTGAATGCACATAAAGCTCTCTCAGTAATACTCAATCCATCTGCAGAGAAACAATTAGAATTGCATTAGCACATCATCACAGAAGAAGTTCTCTTGACACTATCTCCGCCAAAGAACTCATTCTTCCCTGGAGTTTGAAAAGGCAAAAAGAAAAAAAAAATCCCATGCCACATCTGACAATAGGAACAAACTCTTCTAACAGCTCTGATAATGCAACACTTCTGAAATAACAAGTTAAGGAACATACTTTGACTGCCCTCATTAGCTGGCAACTTGTGTGGGGACTGCAAACCAGCTTTACATCCAGAACAAATCCCAGGGAAGAATTCACACCACAGATCCTGTTTCTATTTACCAGTAAAACAACAGCCCCAAGTGTCCTTCCATAAAGCTATATAGTACCAAATCCAGAGCCCAAACTGGTTACAAAGGGTCACCATTGATGAGACATGGCATTTCAGGTCCACCTGCCACGGGCCAAGGAGGTATAAAGCTGATGCTGTGACATGCAATTTCTGGAGCCCTCCTTTTGCCTTGTCTATGCACTAAGTTACTTTGACATCACACCTGCTTCTATTCTGCCTGGAAGCCCTGTCTGCACAACAGATGGCGAGTGTTTGCCTGACAAATGTTCTTGGGTCAGTATAAGAAGGTGGTGCTGGGGACTGTGTGGGTACGAAATGAGTGAGACTCTTCTAGGGCAGAAGAGCAGCCATTGATCCCCAATTAAGCTAGGGAAACTTCCTACCTAGTGAGGGTCAGGGTATGTCTGAGCTCCGAATGTTCCCAGCTCTGTTCATCCCTTCTGACAATCTGGTCCAGGATAGTACAAATCCACTGCTGCAACAGGAAATTACAAAGGAAATCCTGATGTAGGCATTTAGAAAAAAATATATCAGAACAAAACCTTATCGAATTAAAAAGTTAACTTCAAATTCAATTCTATTTCCAACTTAGCTCCCTTGAATCTAAAAGATTCACCTTTCTTAACTCTAAAGTTAACCCTCTAATCCCAACTCCTAGCTTTCACCTCTTAAGTGTCTTTAACTTAAGATCAAACTTAGTCTCTTGAGGAGGTAGTTAAACTTCAACATCTAATTGGAATGAGTTCTTGGGAACTGAGAGCTTGGTTTATCATCACATCTGGTCTTCAGAAGTTAAGAAAATCCTCACTTTCTGCTATGTAAACTTAACACCAGAGTAACGTTCTATTTCAGCTATGATAGTAATTTTTTTTAATTATGCTATTATTCACTTAAAAAAATCCATGATGCAAGATATAAAGTAATATAATGCTCCTTGATGGTGAAAACACCTCTTAGGCACCATGCTCTGCATAAAAACTGTGTATCTGGAGGGAATCTTCTTCTCCCCTCATCCCAAACTGCACATAGCACCTGGTAGGCCTCAGTCTTCAATATAAAGAGCCAACTCGGCACATTCCGTTTCCTTTGACTCACTTGCTTAGATGGCTTAGGAAAGCAACCTGCTCAACATTAGTAAGTCTGGGCCCATTAAAAGGGAGACTGACACTAAACTGAAATCCATTTTAACTCTTCTCCAAGGTTTTCCTTGGACTCTCTAATCAGCCTTTCCTTTACACAGGGGCGAGAACAAATCTACTATAGACAATGAAGAAGAGAGCGAGATGATGCTCTTTTTGAGGGAAAGAATGACACTGGCTTCGCCCACTGTTTTCATCACAAAAATTGAAGTGGGCATGTGGTAGGTTCTCAAAAAACAAAACAAAACTGGCAAATAAAAACAGTGTGTGCTAAGCACTCTGCAGAGACCTTCCCATTTTCATGCTCGTATTTAATACTCACAAAATCCTAACAGCAGGGGGTATTATTATTCCAATTTTGTAGCCAAGGAAACAAATGCAAATAGCCAACAGTGGACAGAGTCATATTTGAATACTTAAAGCATGCATTTCCTATGAACAAGAGAGACATTTTGCAAATATGGGTACAATGTGGCTTTTTGTCACCTGCCTTGAGATCCACCCTATAGGCTAAGAATATAACCTTCCTCTGAATATTCAGTTGGAAGATAACAAGTCAGGTAAATTCAGCCTAGCAGTCCATGGGTAGGCCTCGGAGGATAGGAGGCCCCTGAAATGAAAGGCAACATTTTGTGTACATGTGAATTTTCCCATGGAAAAAGTCCACAGCTTTCAAATACTTTAAAGATTCTATGATCCTCCCAGCCCACAGAGTTTAATGAGTTAGCCGCTTTTAATTAAAGTTATGCTTCTAATTCTCATCCCCAAAGAGTCCAAAGGGCTCCAGATGCCCTTTGTATGCCTATTGAAAGAAAAATGATTAGCATGAAAGCCTGGTGGGTATTAGATGTGAGAATAGTCAGTCAAACACCGTAGGTATGGAAAGCACCCGCATAGATCACCACTTAATGAAGAATAGTAATTTTGAATTCATCCCATTGCTAGCATTTGTCCACAATGAGATTGAGAAGCCATTCTATTGCTGACCAGATGGTCCTGAGGATAGTGAAATGACAGAACCCCTGTATCACTCACCGGAGTCACTACTCTTCAAAATGTGAGAAAGAACCAACAAAATCCTCATTATGACAGTACCTACAAACAAGATCCTTCTGACCATTTCATTTTCTACACACTTCATCTGCAATGAGAATGTCCAGGCCTGAGGCTCTATACTTGGTGAAACCATGCTCATGTTCAAAAAGCATTTATTGAGAGCCTATGATATTCTAAACACTGCAATAAACACTGGTTCCTACACCATCTGGATACCCTCATGTGATTCTAGTCAACACGTTTAAAATAGAACAGTCACCAAATGAAGAACCCCGAGATTGGAGGAACCAGTTTAGGAAAGGGGTAAAAATCATGCCATGTACACAGTCAAAGGCATAGATGATTCTTTGAGAGGAGAATAATACATTGTCTTTCAACTTCTACGAAGTTTCTAGGTAGAAGAAGAAACAGAGAATCAATCCGAATTGCCGGAGAAGTCTGAAAGAGGACCACAGGGCAAAGATTTCAGAGAAGCAAACTGTTGGTTCACAATCATAGCAAGAAAGAAAGGAAATGAAAAAGCAAACTATTCTAGCTGGGGTTATTCAACAATGGAATAAGACAGCTGGCAAAATGTTAGTCGTTGCTGGAGGAATTTGAAATGCATTTATACATTAAAAGCACTAAAGCTATAATAATAAAACCAAAAGATGGGTTAGTTCAAGATGATTGTCCTAAAATACACAGTCAACATAGTCACTGTGTGAACCGTAAAAACGAATGTTGGTTGTTCTGTTTACAGAGAAGAATGTGATATTCACAAATCAACTTATCACAAATTACATGCTTACTCTATTAATGTAATGACCTTGGGAGCTGACTTATAGTCTTCCTTGACCTAATGAACATGCTGAGTATAATCAATTAGGTTTGCAATTAAAATTACAATTTATCTAACATCCCCCCTCTCTGCCCCCACCTTTTTTTTAGGCTCAGGAGACAGTGCAGTGATAAATATAAGCCCTTCTGCTGTGCCTATCTTTCTATTTTTTAAAGCATTTCTATTATGTATAATTTATTAAACCTTAAATTGCTTCCCTATTTGTTAGTTTCAGCAAAATTTAGTCAGGTTTCAACACAGAGTATCAAGGGATAATTAGGACAGTTAGCAGTGATTTATCATTTCTCAGCTGGGTTTTCATGCTTTCGCTGACTGCCTGTAGAAATCTGTTAGCCAGTTCTACACAGATCACTATGAAATCTCCTTTATCTTTGTGCAAATTGCTTTCCTATTTTCCTAAAGTGAGTTGAAAGATGAGCCAATTCATTCCTGAAAATCTAGCCACCGGTGTGCTTGTCATCAGAGTGCAGCTGAGGCCAGAGCCTCAGACGAACGGCTACAGTGGCTAATGGATGATGCAGTGCCATGGGAGGCTTTTTTCCAACCTGCTCCGGATTAGAAATTTAAACCAGGCAGCCCAACTTCAGGTTAGATCTTCACAAAACATGCACAGGGGTCTGTGAACGTGCCAATACACAGTTTATGGAGCACATATTGCTTAGGAAGCCACCAGAGAGGAAAAGCCCAGAAAAGGCAGAGACACTAGTTCTGTACCACTTCCACTGAAAAGAAGGATTTTATTAAGCCTGAACCAAAAAGGGAGGACCTCATGTTCTTTAGAGAGATTCATTTACTAGATGGTGAAAAATGAATGCTCTGGGTAATTTCATTTTGAATTGATTTATTTCTAAATGGGGGGAAATTGACACTTAGTGAAGAAAGTAAAAAGCGGTTCTCTGGAAAGAGCCAGCCAGTCTCAGGTATAACCCAATTATTCCAACACAGGAAATAAGGACATAGAAGGAAGGGTGGAAGGTCACCTGAGAAAGTCATTCCTTACAATGAATACCTTCCTTTCCCTTTCCCTACAGACTCTCAGAGAAGTATAAACTGACCCATATTTCCAGTTTATTTCTGCCACCTAAACCTAATCAAAGTCCACTTTTTAGAGATCTAATAGTTATTTGCAATTAGATTGCACAGCAAATTAAATCATAAATTTCTCTATCTCAGCCCTGGTTGTCACATTCCTAAAATACAACTTGCCTCCCTCCGGCACTTTATTTAAATCTCTGAGGCCAGGCTCCAAAGCAAGCTATGGATTTGATAATTTGCTAATGTGGCCACAGTAATTGTTTTGAGCCATATTTATGATTTTATTGGATCTTGCAACAATCAATAATAATCCATTGATGTCCCTGACTCTGGGGTTTTCTCACAGTCGACAAATGGGACAGTGGATTTATTTTTAATGTACTCACTTAGAACTCTCTCCCTGGGAGAGAGAGCCCTACATATTTTAATAAAGGGCAAGAAATGAATGGCCTCGGTACACATACTTTACCCTGAAAAACTAGCTGCAGGATAAGATTTAATGCTGAAAAGAAAGGAGAGAATAGACTAACAGGGCCCATTTTGTGCAGCACCACCATCATTAAAGTTAATGGAATTACTGTGTGGTCATGCACCAGAGGGAGCCTATTGGAAGTTAAGCTCTTCTAGGGCCATTGATTCACAGACTTTCACTCAAAGATTCCCACTGGCATGTGATGAGTATTGCAGATATGCAGAGGCACTTTAGAAATTGTTTACTCAAACTGCCAGTTAAGCATATTAAGAAACAACAATAATTGGATATTTTAGAGTAGATGATCTACTTGAACATGTCTTCTGCTGGAAGTAGCAAAAATTTCAACTCCAACTGGCTTAAACAATAGAAGACTTTATCGGATCACCTAATTTCTTTTTTGAGACAGAGTTTCACTCTATCACCCTTGCTGGAGTCCAGTGGCACAATCTCAGCTCACTGCAACCTCTGCCACCTCTCAGGTTCAAGCGATTCTTGTGTCTCAGCCTCCTAAGTAGCTGGAATTACAGGTATGGGTCACCACGCCTGGCTAATTTTTGTATTTTTAGTAGAGACATGGTTTCACCATGTCAGGCAGGCTTGTCTCAAACTCCTGACCTAAGGTAACCCACCCGCCTTGGCCTGCCAAAGGGCTGGAATTACAGGCGTGAGCCACCATGCCTGGCTGGATCACCTGATTTAAAGTCCAGAAGTAATGCAGGCTTCGAGTCTGGTTAATTCAACATTCCAATGATGTCACCTAGTGTCCAGCTTCTTTCTGTCTCTGACACTCCAGCCTCAGCATCTGTTTCATTCTCAGGCAGGCTGCCCTAGAAATTATACAATGGCTGCTAGAAGCTGTCAGTTACCAGCTTTCTTGTTCATAAGCTGTAGAGGAGAAAACAGCCTATCCACAACCAATGCATCTAAGT